GGGGTCACCTGCTGGTCACCTGACCCCGGGCCCGCGAGTCACCCGGGGGCCCGGGGTCAGCTCAGGCAAGGATGTATCCAGGACCTTTCGATGGGAGGAGGGAGGCACGGTGGGTCCAGTCTCACTGGCAGACGGGTCTCTTTAAAACGGTCTTTGCATGAGAGAATGTGAAAAATTGGCAAGCAAAAGTATCATTTATGCCCGAGGAGTGTGCCTAATGTACACTAATGCCTAATTTACATGATATTTTACGAGCGAGCAAAGCGAGCGAGCTCCTCAGAGTCACCGGTGTGTGGCGCGCTCAGAGGTGCCAGTGAAAGGCCGTCAGATGCGCTGATGTTGGGTCCTCACAGGCGCCGTTGCGGAGTCTTAGGGCTTAGAGACACTGGTGGGGCCATCATTGGCATGTGTGTGGCCCTGCAAAATGGCCTGCAAGTGGAAAGTGGCCCGTCATAGGCTGGCAAGGACACTCGGAGGCTGGTAAGAGGCCCTCAGAGTCACTGGTACGTGGCCCTCAGAGGCGTCGGTGTGGGGACTCTCAGAGCCGCCGATGTAGGCCCGATGCGCTGGTGGGGGTCCCTTGGAGGTGGGGCGAGGGGCCTCGCAGTTGCCGTTGTGGGTGCCTTTAGAAACACTGGTGTGGACCGTGTGTCTATCACAGACGGATGTGGAGCCATAGCAGCCAATCCCTCGTTGGCCGTTACTAGGGCCCTGAGCGGCCGGCGAGGTCTCTCAGAAACCGGCATTGGGCCTTTATGACCGTAGTTGCGGCGCCCGCCACGGGCGGCGCTGGCCCGGCGAGCGGCGGTGACCCGACCGCTCGCCGGGTCAGTCTGGGCGCGTCTGGGCGCGTGCTCCGCCGAGTCACGTCCGCAGTGAGCAGTGAGTGGCCGCCGGTATTCGAGGCGGCTACGAGCCAATCCGTGCGGATGGCGGAAGTGGAGGAGCTCAAGTGTCAGGTGGCCTCTATCACAGAGAGGTTTGACCGGCTCGAGGGTCTCGTCGAGAAGATCTCGAAACAGCTAAGTGCTTCTCCGTGCACAGAGCAAAGCGATAAAGACGACAATGTCGGTCGTCGACAGGTCGTCCCTGACGAGCAGCAGCATCAAGTGATGCCAAGTGCCGTGCTGGGTTCATTCAGCGAAGTGCAGGCCGAATTTCGGGCCATTCGCGACAGCGTCGCCAAGGTGAAGCTACCGCCAGACCTGTTGGTTGGCGACAGTCGTGCGGGCGTCAGCAGGGCAGACCTGCCGAGATTCAACATCATACAGAAGTCGGCGCGCTATCAGGAGACGGTACTCAAGCTCCTGTCCGCCTGCGATCCGGAGGACGCGGCGCTCAACCAGGTATCGGCTGTCAGCCTGGCACACCTGCGTTACCTGCAGGAGGAGTACACGCAACTTCTGGTATCAGCCCAGTTCGACGACGGGACGGCAAAGCTGTTTTCTACGCTACAGCAAAATCCGGCAGCTTTCACGCCGAACTCCCTCGAGAACCTTCAGCGAGCCGTGGCTACATAGGAGCCAATAACGTCCGCCCACAAGCCCTGTGGTGTCCTTCCGAGTTGAAGTGCGGCCAGCGCGAACCCTCTGCTACCAACTGGCGCCGCAGGGCCCCTCGGTTTCGAAGGAACCCTAAACCCGAGAACGGGCACGTACCCCCTCGCTCCCTTGCTATGTCACTGAATCCAAGTGATTAGGGACCCTTTAGGTAATCAGGGGCGTTTCAGATGACCAGGGGTTTTCAATTGATCAGGGGCTCACCAGGTGACCATGGGCCCCTCTGGTAACCAGGCGCCCCTTAAATAACCAGGGACCCCATAAATAACCAGGGCCCCTCAGTAAACGGGGACCACTCAGGTAAGTGTAGGAGTCCCGCAGATAACCAGGGCCGGCAAGGTATGGTCCGTTTTTTGACAAGGCTCTTATTGACTCAGGTGCGAGCCCTTTGCCATCAGCAGAGGGCCCTTTCAAGCCTTTTGAGGGCCGTTTAACGTCTCTTGAGTTCCCATTGAGGCCTTCTAAGGGCCCTTTGAGCAGTCGAGGGGCTTTTGAGGCCTTTTGAGGGCCTCTTGACGTCAGCTGAGGACCGTTGGACGCCAGCTGAGGATCTTTTTTGGGCCTTCTGATGGCCATTAGACGCCAATGGATGACCCTCTGACACCAACTGGGGCCCTCTGACACCAGCTAAGGGCACTTTAAGTTTGACGCTAGCTCAGGGCCCTCTGACATTAGCTGGGGGCCCACTGACGCTAGCTCAAGGCCCTTTGACGTCTTTAAGGCCTTCTGAGGGCCCTTGAGGTCTTATAAGGGCCCCTTGAGGCTTTTTCAGGGCCGCTTGACGCCAGCTGAGGACCGTTTGAGGCCTTCTGATGGCCATTTGGCGCCAGCTGGGGCCATCTGGCACCAGCTGAGGGCCCTCTGTCACCAGCTAAGGACCCTTTAGAGCATTCGGAGAGCCGTTTGACGCAAGGGCATGGCCCTCTGACGTCAGCTCAGGGACCTTTGACACCCTTTAAGGCCTTCTGACGTCCGTTTGACGTTAGCTGAGGGCCCTTTGAGGCTATCTGAGGGCCCTTTAAGGCCATCTGAGACTCCTTTGAGGTCATCTGAGGTCTCCTTAAGGCCATCTGAGGGCCCTTTGACACCATCTAAGGGCCCTTTGACACCAGATGAGGGCCCTATGACGCTAACTGAGGACCCTTCGAGGCCATCTGAGGGCCTTTTGAGACCATCTGAGGGCCCTTTAAGGCCATTTGAGGGCCCTTTGTACACGGTCTTCGGTGGTCTAAGGATTAGTTAGAGGCCCATTTGAGGCGGCCTTCGGCCGCCTCAAATGGGCCCCTTCCTTCGAGTTGGGCCCCCCAACTCGAATGGGGGGGCACGGACCCGTGTGCCCCCCCCCCTTGTGTGCGCCCTTGACTCTGAGCCGTCCAACACGGCTGTCAACGGAGCAGACGCGGACGGCCGGGTTTCTGGTCCGTCCCAAAATGATCATCTGCCATCTGCACATAATATGGTCGATGACTGCGAAATTGTAACAAATCAACGCTTTCCAGGAATCAAAACAGATTGACATTTTATGTCTGACTAACACAAAATCATACAAAAGGACTTTCTAGTTTCTAGCCCGCACCGGGCCAGCCCGGTGCTCGGCGCCAGCCGAGCCGGGCCGGGGGGGGGGGGGAAGGTAGGCCGTCTGAACACCCCTCGTCTAAACTCGGCTCCTGGGCCACGATAGGTACGACATGGGCGAGGGGGCGGTCGAATGGATCCCCTCGGTTTTTCGCAAATAATTGGCGTAAACAGTGGCCGATTGCGACGAAACTGTCAGTGCCCTCAGGTTAATCAATTCTACATCTACTCCTAAGATTTCATTATCCTGACCCAAATGACCTTTGACCTGTGATCTATTTATCTAGACCATGTTTGGCCGGCATTGCGATTCGGCGTATGTCGGCTCACATTAGCCGCGCGCTTGCAGTCCTTTCGTGGTTTCAACTTTCACGCGTACAAACATGTGATATGATGCTGGTCCCATGCATTATGGTGGGTGTCAGCTGTCAAGGTGACCCAGAGGTCAGGTCAGGTCATTGACTTTTGATGACCTCGTTTCACTTTTCGCGAGTTTTACTTGTATCTAATCTAGTTTTTGGTGCTAATTTCGACTTTAGCAACCATTTGAACATTTACGAGGTAGTTTTGGTGCCTTCGTAACATGTTACGCAGCTGTCAGAGGCCGTTGACACCTACTGCGAATACCTGGCAGGACCGCTATTGGTTGATCTGACCTGACCTGACCTGGCCTAAGTGGATGAAAACATCATTGATTATCAAAACTAACAGGATATTCGTGATCAGCAACCCTAAAAAAGTAATATTCTCACTCAACGACGCTCTAACAGGTCCCGACTTTACCGTCGTTTGGGTCATTGTTCTGACCCGGAATGTCAACCAATGACCTTGGACCTTAAAAATTAGGTATCATCGGCTTCCTCTTGTCACGGGCAACACGTTCGTTTATACCGCAAAGCTCTAGCTCGATCAGGGGCCAAACGGCAAGGCGGGATCCAACGGGCCCCCTCCCCCCCCCCCCTACCTTCGCTGCTGGCAAGACACCAATACCGGCGAGGGTTGAGTGGCATTCGAAAGAACGTCAAAAAGCAAGACGAAACATTTCGGTCATCTTTAGGTCAGGTCAAAGGTCCGGTCACCAGAGGCCATCAAAAGTAAAATGTTGCCTACTTCAACATTCTTCGAAAATCCGGTGCATACCTAACTTGGGAACCAGTAGAGCTACAGCGCTGCGAGAAATCGCATTCGATAACCCTTTTTACGTTCGATCCGTAATGTGTCCTCATAGTTGACCCCACGTCAAGGTTTAGTCTCTAGAGGGCAAAAAGTAAAGAAGCCGTTTTTACGAACTGTTTTGCTTCAATAGCTTCAATAACACAAAGGCCCAGGTAGCCACCTGGTAACAACAGGAGCGTCGTGGGTAGCCACCCGCCCACTTTTATGACCTTTGACTGTTCAATGCCTTTCGTGACATGAAATTACCCCAGGGAAATAAGAAGGGGTCACGTGTGCCATTTTGCAATTCAAGGTGTTATGTTTGCTTGTAATTTGGTGTTTGGAGTATTTAGAGTGACGCTCATTTCAAAGCGAAACTGTAAAAGTGATTTGTGACTCGGTGTAGCTATTGCAGCATCGAAACTTTTTATGAGATGAGGTCACTTGACGTTGCCTGTTGACCTGTCATTGTCAACAGGCAAAGTCAAGTGACCTCATCTCATAAAAAGTGTGCCAAAATTTGAGATATTTCCAAAAAACGTAAGAGGGTGCTCAAACAGGGTGCCCCCCACCCCGCAGCAGGGCGCGAGTTGATAGGTATTGCCCTTTTTATTGCACTTTTGCTTATAGGTATGTTATAGGTATTCTGTGAAAGTCTGTGGATAAATCCGTTTAAAATCAACCCGTTTTACTTCTGTGTCACTTTTTTAGCCGTGGATGCTATCATCAAGGTGGGCCCAAACACTATCATCCTTCCGGCCGGAGTCGGTCTCATCGAGCTGACGGAGCTGCGGAGCTCACGGGAGACTGTGGAGCGGCTGTCAGTCACCGCCGCCGACCTCCCGCGACTGAGGGAGCAGCTGCCAGAGGGCCTCAGGCGCCTCAATGTCAGAGGTGAGATACCACGGATCATACATGTAATGCCGGTATAATGGACAATGCATATGGATATACAAATGGACAGGGAGACAGACGGCAAATGGACGAACCGTTCGAATTCAGCCAACATCTTACAGCCTTGTTTGTGTTATATGGTATTGTTAGAGTGATGCAATGCATGCATTTGCATATATTGTGAGCATCAAGTGCATGCATGAAATATTATTGTAGCAATTATTGTAATTTGAAATGGTTTCATTGCAACTACTGCGAACCATATATTTATGTAGTCTACCAACCTGATCCGTTACTATACCATGACTGGCTGCCCAGTGCCTAAGCCAATGTGCCTTGCAAAAATCGTAATACTTATGTTGCTCATATTTGAATATTTACGTATGTATGCTGTTGGTAAAAATATCGTTGTGCAGCCGCTCGGCTGTGTTAGTGCTGGCTGTGTCAGTGTCTGACACTCTGCAGTGTCTGTGGTGCAGCGGGGAGCTGGCGGCAGCTCTGTCCGACTGCAGTCAGCTGACACAGCTCTGTCCGACAGGGCCGGAGGTGACGGAGCCGAGGTGGCCGGGAGAGTCCCGTTGGGATGGTCTGTCAGTGTCGCTCCAGGGGGTGACTGCCGACACCATCAGTCACCTGGCTGACCTGGGACGGACGGTCACACTACTGGAGATATACGGTGAGCAGCGGCAGCACGGACAGGCCGCTGATATGTACGAGATCAGCGAATGGCGGACACCGAGTAACGGTGTGCCGGTGTCGGACCTTATGGTGACAGGTGTGATACATAGTTAATGTGCTTTGTGAAACAATGAAGCCAATTGAGCTCCAAAATGGAGGACTGTTCACTCAGTGACATATTCCCTCATAGTTAGTTGAACAACATATTGCGATTGTAATGCAATGTTCAATGCACTTCAATGCATTGGCTGAACTGATTGCATATCCATAGATAACATGAACATTGAACATTCATGTTATCATGTTCATTCATTCATGTTATCACATTCATTCATGTTTATATGGCATATCATATAGTACCACTGTTATATCATGGCTTACGGTGTCCATAAAACCATGCGAATTGATAGCTGTTTGATGTTTCGTTTTTTCCATATATTGACATATATTTCTGCCAAATGATCCTGTCTGTATGTGTGTCTGTGTGTTTTCCAGATTGTACTGATCTCACGACCGGCAGCCTGGAGCCCCTCACCAGGTGCCCTAAGCTGGAGCGTCTCACCCTGTCCGGCGGCGTCCCTGACACCGTGAGCCTGGAGCCACTCACCAGGTGCCCTGAGCTGTGGCGTCTCACCCTGTCCGGCGGCGTCCCTGACACCGTGAGCCTGGAGCCCCTCACCAGGTGCCCTAAGCTGGAGAGTCTCACCCTGTCCGGCGGCGTCCCTGACACCGTGAGCCTGGAGCCCCTCACCAGGTGCCCTAAGCTGGAGAGTCTCACCCTGTCCGGCGGCGTCCCTGACACCGTGAGCCTGGAGCCCCTCACCAGGTGCCCTGAGCTGCGGGATCTCACTCTGTCCGGCGGCGTCCCCGACACCGTGAGCCTGGAGCCCCTCACCAGGTGCCCTGAGCTGCGGTGGCTCACCCTGTCCGGCGGCGTCCCTGACACCGTGCTGGACAGTCTCAGCGGCTGTCCCAGGCTGTACAGGCTTACACTGGGGGACCGCCAGCGGCCGGCAGAGACGGCCTTCACAGCAGCAGCGGTCACCAGGTCAGTCAGCAGACACTGGTGAGGGGTGTCCTGTCAGACACTGACACTGACACACTGACACTGGATACACTGACACTGACACACTGACACTGACACACTGACACTGACACACTGACACTGTTACATTGACACTGACACGCTGACACTCTGACACTGACACAGTGACACTGACACACTGGCACTGACACACTGACACTGGCACGCTGACACTGACACACTGACACTGACACACTAACACTGACACACTGACACTGACACATTGTCACTAACACTGATACACCGACACTGACACACTGACACTGATACACTGACACTGACACACTGACACCGACACACTGACACTGACACTGACACATTGTCACTGACACCAACACACCGGCACTGAACTACTGACACTGACACCGACACGCACGTCCGGCCGGCTGGTGCCGCTGTGTTTGTGTGTGACGGCTCTGCTGCTCTGCTCTGTTACAGACTGGTGAAGTCGTGTCGGAAGCTGGACAGACTGAACCTTCACTGCACGGCAGACACCACCCGGGCCTTGCTGACCGCCCTGAAGGAGGCGGACCTGCAGTACAGTGATGGCGAGCCCCGTACCATCGATCTCTTTGTCCCCGGTAGGTGAGAGGGCGCCGCGCGCCGCGCCTCTGACCAGTCAGTCCCTCACAACAGACGCTGCACGGCGCCACCGGCCTCTCAGACACACACACTCGACCACCGCCGCAGGCCACGTCACGGACGGTGACGTGACGCGTCACGGCCACCACGGCCGACGGTGACGTCACGTCAGCCGTCTGTCCTGTGTGTGACGTCACTGGCCGGCGGTGTGTGGACATGGCTGTACCGCTGTCTGTGTGTCTGTCTGTGTGTGTGAGGTGTCCACCTCAGACGTGTCTCTGCTCTGTCCACAGAGGAGCTGTACTGTCAGCTGGAGAGCCAGCAAGGCGATGGGGTCAGAGTGTTTCTGTGGTAGTATTGATGCGCTGCACTACCGACCGTGCAGTGATGAGCTGACTGCAGAGAGGTCGAGCCAGTCGGCCGGGGCCGCCAGCTGACTGCTGCCGTGTGTGCTGCACCAGCCGGCACTGAGAGCGGCGCCGGTCAGCCGGCACACGGCCCCGGTGTCCGCTCTAGTGTAGTCATGTAGTTGTAGTAGTAGTAGTGTAGATGTAGGAGTAGCACACGGATGTGATGCATTGGGTAATTACAGGGCGGGTAATGTGGGTAATTGGACAGTGAAAGGTGATGTAGTGGGTAATTACCAGGTGGGTATTGTGGGTAATTGGCTGGAACGATTTGATCTAGCGGGTAATAACCGGGTGGGTGTTGTGGGTAGTTGGCTGGAAGGATGTGACCTGGTGGGTAATTACCGGGCGGATATTGTTTGTAATTGGACAGTGAAAAGTGACCTGGTGGGTAATTACCGGTTGGGTATTGTGGGTAATTGGACAGTGAAAAGTGATGTGCTGGAGAGACTACCGATCGTAGCATTACGCTATTCTGTATGTAGAACACACGTCTCTGACCGTCCGACTCGGTTCACCGCGCCTGGTCCCGGCGGCACGGCCGGCCTCGGTCACGTGACCGCCCCCCGGTGGAGTCGGACGGCTCGGTCACGTGACCGCTCCCCCCCGGGTCTGGCTGCACCTCGGCTCGGCGGTGCTGAGCGCCGTGCAGAGCGTGTTGTGACACGTCCCACACGGACAGCTCTACTCGACTACTGGCTAGCTGCCGTCCGAGCTGGCAGTATACACGCGGTGCCAGTTCAGACGGCGGCCGGCCGCGCCGCGCCCGCCCGCTCCGGTCCCGGCCGGCGGCCGTCACCCGGCCCGGGGCGGTGACCGGTCCGTCAGCTGACCATTGGTCAGTCAGCTGACCATTGGTCAGTCAGCTGATCATTGGCCAGTCAGCTGACCATTGGTCAGTCAGCTGATTGGTCAGTCAGCTGATTGGTCCGTCAGCTGATTGGTCCGTCTGCTGATTGGTCCGTCTGCTGATTGGTCCGTCAGCCAATCAGTCTCCACCGGCGGAGCGCGGCGCACGCCGAGACTCGAGACGTCAAACACATGTCAACTATATACACGAGAGGAGACGCTTCAGCTGTACTATCTGTAGACTAGGGCAATTAGTTACCGGGCGAGTATTGTGGGTAATTGGATGAAGTGATGCGATGTAGTGGGTAATTACCGGTCGGGTATTGTGGATAATGTACACTGAAAACTTTTTTACCATTTCCTGAAGGGTAAACCCGCCATAGCATGGTAGCTTGACACACAGACGTTTTTTACCACCTTCCAGATGGTAAATTTTACTCTTTCATGAAGAGTAAACTCGCCAGGGAGGGGTAACATGACACACAGACGTTTTTTACCATCTTCTGAATGGTAAACTCTTTTGATTTACTCTTGTCTAGAGTGTAACATTTTTTGGGTTACACTCTTTGAAAGGGTAAATCTTAAACGGAACCCTTTTCTAGGGAGTAACGCATCATCTACTCTGTGCTTTACCCTCCTACAGAGAGTATATTCTTCTGGCCTACCCTTTGTCACATGGTAATGTTTACTCTTTCCTTTAGTGTAAACCCCCCAGAGGATGGTAACAGACTCACAGACGCTTGCTTCAGAAGCTTCACGAAGCTTCTGTTAACCGGAGCTCACCAACTAAAAAAACATGCTTCAAGAGCAACAATGTATATTTGGCTTCCGTACAAACAATACGAGGGGCAGACCAGCCATGAACATTGTGAGACTCTTCACTTATGCATACGAATTTATACGAAGCGTTCAGCAATGCACAAACGGTCAATAAACACCACGATACAACTTGAATGCACTTTGAATGTGAATACAAGACATTCAGCGCCCTCATATTGGATAAGGCACAGCGCACAATATTTGAAGAGAGCGACGGCGTTCCTGGGTGGTCGCCCGTCTGCGTGAGATAATGAGACTGGATCACTACAGTGCGAGGCTTTTTCAAAGTCACCAACAAAATGCATAAACTTGTAGCATCACAACAAAATTAATGTACGTACTCACAACCTAGGCCACGTGGCCGTGCACGGGGTCCTGTTAACCAGGTCAAATTAGCACCACTCAACGGCATGCAATGCTCTAGCACATCGGTACTTACAATAAAATGTCCGCGCAGAGGCTCTATAGGCGATGAACAGCACACAAGCACAATCACCAACGGCCACGTGGCGCCGCACCGACACTGCTCACATCCTCCCTCGGAGACCAACGGCCGAAAACTGACAGATGCGCGCGGCCTTCAAACCGCAAACGGCCGATCTCGTTTCTGATTGGCTGAGTGATTCCATTTCAAATATCATCTTCACGAGGGTAAACAAGATCCACGCATGAAACGACTATCTGTACACGAGTCACGATACCCAGAAGGAAAGAGTTTTCGTGATGTTCTGGATCGCGAGAGTAATATTGATATTTACATGGTAATAATACTTTTCGCTGGCGAATAAGGTCATATTAACCACGTACCGTTACTATGCACATAATGGTAGCAAAGAGTTACCCTTTCAATATACTCTTATCTTGCTGGTTTGATGAAAATGAACCCTCCAGGAGGTAGTAAAAAAGTTTTGAGTGTAGGTAACCTTGGGTATGATATAGCCGGCTATCCAACGGTCGGATATAGTCAGCTGGATGCTACTGAATTGTGTAGAGCTCTTACGGCACCGGTCATAGCGAGTGTCCTCGCGTCTGTCCGACTCGGTTCACGGAAGCACGCCGTCACGGCCCGGGTGCGCGCCGCCATGTTTTGTGTCCTCTGCTTCGTACAGGGGGGTAATTGGGCTACCGACCGATTGGGAGTCGGAGTCGGAGTCCGTGTCGATCAAGCTGCCTTGACTCCGACTCCGGAACGGCTTTTTAGATTTTAGTTATCACTTGGCCATGCTGCTGATAATCGGCTGCGCTTTGACTAATACATTTTGCACATGTCCAGTCTTTGTCCTGGAAAACAGCTAACTTCGGAGCTTACCTCATCATTTGTGCTAATGTCCTGGTGACCTGAGTACAGTTTGGCTCCACCAGAGGGGGGGGGGGTGTTTCTGCGCCGCTGTTCCGCCGCTGCTGTGACCTGCCGAGCTGCGGTCCCGGCTCCAGAGCACACCGTCGGCCGTCGAGGCCTGGTCCTTCTGTTCCGTGCACATCATCAACAGGTGTCGTATATATATATAATACAGGCCCAGCGTGGCAGTTCACCGTTAACCGGCGGCCACACACTGACTGGCTGGATCGCCACTCGCCGTATTTCACCGCCTTCCCCGGTGCCGGGCGGACGATAACCTGTATACGACACACCGTTTTACCCGCCGTCATTTGGGATCAGGTCTGAGAGCCGCCTCGGGTAAATCAGCTGCCGTCTCGAGCCATTTGGCTGGATCTAGGATCCCATCGGATCCCAGATCAGGATCACTACGTGGGATCAGATCACACATACATACACCTTTTCTGAGATTCCTGCACATTTCACATGTGTTTTGGCCACTCTGACTGGTGTCATGTAAGTAGTTCCCTGTTGCAGTTCTGTGTGTGTTGTATGGCCTGCACCCGTCCCCGTCACAACTGCAGTGTTCGGTGCTGGTCAGTGACCCACAGCTGACACCGGGCCTCCCACCGCCGGCGGATGAGCCGGCCGGCCCGTGCCCGGCCCTCCATTCCAGCCGCCACGGCCGGCCAGCAGCGTTAGCTTAGCAGTGACAAACGAATAACGATGGTCTTCCATAGCTCAATGGTCTCAAATGTCCCGCCCGCCCCCTGATCATCCACCGGTGCCGTCCCAGTGGTCGGTCGGGGCTCGACAGGCGGTCGGTCGGCAGACAGACCGACCGGTCACCGCCAGGTCACGGCCGGCCCACTGACAAGCACGCCGTGCCGCCGCCGTGGCCGTGGCCGTGCTCCGGCCGTGCCCTGACCGGGCTCACCGGCTCTGACCCACCGGCCTCAGAGATCTGACACCAACTACCGGCTGGACGAGCCGCCGAGCGGCCTGCCGACCGACCGCTCCCGTATGGCAGCGGGCCGCCGCCAGCTGCACCACCAGACACCGACAACAAGCACCGACACACTGTCACAGCACATCCAGCAGCCGGCTTGTCTCGCTGTCAACCACGGGCACTCGACTGTCCATCAACGCACTCACAAAATCAACTAATCACCCTCGCCTGTCCATCAACGCACTCACTAAATCAACTAATTACCCTCGCATGTCCATCAACCCACTCACAAAATCAACCGGTCACCTCTCGTCAAATACACACAAAATAATACCGAGCTCACAACCATTCCCGTATTTATCGGAAAATCCCACCACAGCAGTCACCCCCGTTGCCGTCGTGTGGCCTTTCCGTTGCAGTGCGGGACGATTGTCAGCCCCCGTCCCTGCTGTGGCCAGCGGGCGGCTCCAGCACAGCGGCGAGCGTTACTGGCTGCAGCCGGTGTGTCCGTGCCCACAGCCGGGTGCAGCTGTTGGAGGCCGTGTTGGAGGCCAGTGTGACGTCACACCGTCGTGCCGTCCCAGTCCGTGTCAGTGTCCGAGTGACAGTGGTCTATATATATATATATATATATATATATATATATATATATATATATATATATATATATATATATATATATATATATATATATATATATATATATATATATATATATATATATATTTTGCATATTGCCTAGGCATTTTGCAAAATGCCCGAGTTTTCACTTTGCCTGTAACATATATATATATATATATTTATATATATATATATATATATATATATATACAGTGTCAGCTGTGTCCAGCTGCTGGTGCTCCGACTGTCAGCTGAACTGACACACTGACACTGCAGCCCCTGACAGTGTAAGACCGGCCCCCGGTCAGTGTCAGATGCCGTCACTGAGAGCGGTCCGGTGACACTCCCAGCTGCAGCCCCCTCCCCGTGGCTGGTGCCGCTGCAGTCTTATTGTGCCGGTGGTCAGCTCCGGCAGAATCCACCACAAACAGCTGCCGTCACTCCTCTGCCGCCGCTCCGACACTCTATTCCGGCAGCCGGGCACCAAATATGCTGCAGTGGCTAGCAGTGCATTCACTCCACATGGACACACCGCTCCGAACCTTTCGCCAGACCGACCCGTCTCGGCCGGAGGGGGCGGTGAGGGGGACGCGGCGAAGCCAACCAGCCGACGCCTCTGTGGCACACGCGCCAAGCACAGACCAATCAGCAGACGTCTCTGCGGCTCGCGCACCACGCACAGACCAATCAGCAGACGTCACTGCGGCTCGCGCGTTACGCACAGACCAATCAGCAGACGCTTCTGCGGCTCGCGCGCCACGCACAGACCAATCAGCAGACGCCTCTGCGGCACGCGCGCCACGCACAGACCAATCAGCAGACGCCTCTGCGGCTCCCGCGTTACGCACGGACCAATCAGCAGCGCACACCCGCCGACACCTTAGGGCTGGTCAGTGGCGTTCAGTGGTGTGGTGGCCGCACGGCACGGGGTGGGGCCGTGATGACATGTCGTAGACGAGATGGTCCCGCTATTCGCGAAAAACCTCAGGGGGAGGGGGGTGCGGATATCCGCCCCCCGTCGGTGCGCGTGTTAAGTGCTTTTAAGACAGGCTGACGAAGAAAGACGAACGTCTTTCGAAAGCTCCCGTAACTAATAAGCGAAGCTGGTGCTTTGAATATTTTTATGCTAGAATGTCTCTGTCCCAGCTAAACAATAACATTTATAACTACATGAAGTACCAAAAGAATACAACCATTCCCGTATTTATTGGAAAATCCCACCACAGCAGTCACCCCCGTTGCCGTCGTGTGGCCTTTCCGTTGCCGTGCGGGACGATTGTCAGCCCCCGTCGCTGCTGTGGCCAGCGGGCGGCTCCAGCACAGCGGCGAGCGTTACTGGCTGCAGCCGGTGTGTCCGTGCCCACAGCCGGGTGCAGCTGTTGGAGGCCGTGTTGGAGGCCAGTGTGACGTCACACCGCGCGTGCCGTCCCAGTCCGTGTCAATGTCCGAGTGACAGTGGTCTATATATATACAGTGTCAGCTGTGTCCAGCTGCTGGTGCTCCGACTGTCAGCTGAACTGACACACTGACACTGCAGCCCCTGACAGTGTCAGACCGGCCACCGGTCAGTGTCAGCTGCCGGCACGGAGAGCGGTCCGGTGACACTCCCAGCTGCAGCCCCCCCCTCCCCGTGGCTGGTGCCGCTGCAGTCTTATTGTGCCGGTGGTCAGCTCCGGCAGAATCCACCACAAACAGCTGCCGTCACTCCTCTGCCGCCGCTCCGACACTCTGTTCCGGCAGCCGGGCACCAAATATGCTGCAGTGGCTAGCAGTGCATTCACTCCACATGGACACACCGCTCGGAACGTCTCGCCAGACGGACCCGTCTCGGCCGGAGGGGTCGGTGAGGGGGACGCGGCCGATCGGACAGACGGCCACAGCGAGACGCGCCACGGCCGGCCCGGCCCGGCCGAGGGACTCAGCCCGCCGGAAACGGAACACACCGTGCACGGCTGGACGATAGCCAGACGCTCCACTGGTCAGGCCGGGCCGGCGGCGGCGTGCCATCGGCCTCCCCGTACTGACCACTCACTCCCATACAACAGGCTTAGCGAGCGGTAGATGGACTCACCGGCTACGTCTGATCGTAGTTGACATGACCACTTTATTGCCTGTGGCATAACGATACACATTGCACTTGTGGTATGATACTGCAATTTTAAGGACGTCTATGCTTATGTAAAAATCGATTTGTTTTCATATGGTTGGGTCCCAAGAACAATAAAATGCAGCCTCTGAAGATACGCCTTTCCTTAGAAGAGTCATATGAATAAATGACATATCTGTGCATATCAGGGGTGGAGAATTAGGGGTTTTGGGGGTGCTCGAGCACGCCCCTGAAATTCAAAAGTTACCACGTAATAATGCTCCAATACACCTTTTTGCACTCAAAATAGGCATCTTTTCATTCAATTTCGGCGAATTGCATTCAATTTTAGCGATCTCTCTATTCAAAGCAAATGAGAGATCGCTGAAATTGAATGCAATTTGCCGAAATTGAATGAAAAGATGCCTATTTTGAGTGCAAAAAGGTGTAGTTGCTTGCATTTCATCTGAGACACAAGCTGATTTGCGTTAGTCGCGAGACGATAGGCGTTATCACAAGTGTATTCGCGGCCATTGGGGCGACGTAAGAAAAGAAGAAAACATCTGGCCCCAAGAACTTTAAATTATCAGTTAGCATGCACCTTTTCGTTGATCTGTAGAGAATTTGCCATCAATTGCTAGAGAAAATTGCATTTAAAATCTTCCATTTATGTTTTTTCATCGTTTGCACAATATGTTCTTTTACTAAGCTAGAAACACTAATTATAAATAGTTCCCGCATCATCGTCAAGAACAATAGGGAAGGCTTGAAGTGAATACAATAATCTAAACGGTTTTGTAATCTATGTGAAGACACTTCTAAAATTGCCTGTAGAAATATTGAAGGCAAAAGTTCAACTTTTTCACAAGACGGATGTCTATAAACCTATTCAACGTGTGACAACTCAGCCGGTATTTCGTCGCCTACAGCCCAGCTTTCCCTAGTGACCGATAGAGGCGCTGCTATCGATGTCCGCCCGTGCCGCCTAACGAATAGTGATGTTGTTGGAAAGCGTGCTTATATGTGCTTTACTGCGCAATAATTTGAGTCTGCCACTCACCAGGTGCTGGAAAAGCACCCCCTGGTATTATGACAATTCTCCGCCTAGATGGTGCATATATTTTTATTGGTGCTATGTCAATACTGAACAGCAGTATGCATTTCATGAACGCCAATTTATTAGTTAGGTATTCTTCTTAGCGTCCTCGCAAAGAACATAGCTATGAGAATATAAATGAAAAAATCATGGACTTTTCTCCCCGGCTAACTATCATCAGCGAAAATGAATGATGCGAAAATTACTCTTTATTGCTGCAGTAAAAAGTAATTCTTACAAACAAAGTAGTGTGATTTTCTAACAAAAACACGGATTGGTGTCTCAAAACTATACGGACAGATAGGACCAGAAGCCGCCACTGGTCCTGCGGCTACGCTCGGCCGGCGCCGCGTCCACTGGCCAGGAGGTGGAGCGTCCCGGCCAAGGAGGCAGAAGACGGCGCAGCCCAGGCAGCTGGCCAATCAGCAGACGCCACTGCGGCACGCGCACCACGCACAGACCAATCAGCAGACGCTTCTGCGGCACGCGCGCTACGCACAGACCAATCAGTAGACGCCTTAGCGGCACGCGCGTTACGCACGGACCATTCAGCAGAAGACTCCGCGGCACGCGCACCATGCACAGACTAATCAGCAGACGCCTCTGCGGCTCTCGCGCGTTACGCACGGACCAATCAGCAGCGCCTCCCGCGACTGGCTCCGGCCGGCCGCTGGAAAATGGCCGTAGAAAAGAGGCACACCCACCGACACCTTAGGGCTGGCCAGTGGCGTTCGGTGGCGTGGTGGCCGCACGGCACGGGATGGGGCCGGGATGACATGTCGTGGACGAGATGGTCTCCGAAACACCCGGGAAATCTGACGTCCCAGCCGTCCCCAGCCGGAACGTCCCCAGCCGGTACGTCCCCAGCCAGTACGTCCCCAGCCGGTACGTCCCCAGCCGGTACGTCCCCAGCCGTCCCCAGCCGGTACGCCCCCCATTGATACATAGGTAGTTTGTTTAAACAGCAACTTTTTTGTTCGTTTGGAAATACATTGTTATGATGCGCAAGATTGGATGGATGGGTCACAGTCCCTGCAATACGCAGTATCACTTCGCTGTAGGTATGTCAGATTCTTCTCAATGCCAGGGCGTTTTTTTTTTCTAACGCGAGCGGCCAGGGGGCCCCCTGGCGATTGACTTATATGGCATCTAGAAACACGATATTTAAAGGGTAGGTGGACCAATAAAAAATGTCACTCCTGTGCAACTTTGGTAACCCTAGGTCAATAGTAAGGGAATGGGCTATGGGGTTATACATGTTGAAAATAGCTTAAACAGCCTAAGTTTTTTGCGCATTTTTTATTTAGCAATGGTAGAGGAAATAGCATACCAGCAAGCTCAGCAAGTCAATGCGCATCGAATGATACATTTTCTAAGCAGTTTAGGTGAACCGAACAAGTTAATAAAATTCATCCAAATTTTAAGAAAAAAATCATATAAATTTCAAAAATAAGTTTCATCCGATATGATGCATTTGGAAGTTCATCCAAATGCATCATATCGCACATCTTTCGACTAGGCTGATTACAAGGAACACAATGACACCATTTTTGAAACTCTAACCTCAATATGTATATTTTTTTAGTAAACACATAGCTTGGCCCCATTTGACACCAGTTGACCAAACCCAAACGTTTTTGCAGCATGTAAATTTAATTTTGATCATATATTGATGTAAACAAAGGTATTCCAACAACAACAACAAAAAAAAAACGTTGACATGACACCCAAATCTCTTATGTGTTTTAGGTATAGTTGGAGTCATTTGGATAAATTGTCTTATAATTTTTCATGACCTCTTGATGAACTCAGGTCAACTGTATCAAAAATATATCTGCGTATTATGCTGCACCCTGTGAGCTTAGCATATCCTGAAAGTCTGAATCAAATCGATGCACAGCTCCCGATTTCATTGAAAAAATAGTGTATTTTCAGTGTCATTTTGACAAGGTATCGTTTTTATGACCTGGTGACCTGACCTGAGGTCACTGAAACTCCAGACTCCCAGTACACGTGACAAATGAATGCCCACGCAGTGTCTGAAATTTGGTGACGCTATGTGCCATGGTGCCTACGCTATTAACGAGAAGGGCTTTGTGATTTTGTTGTAACAAAACTAGTAAAATAAAATTTTATACTGGCATTGTTCCAGGTGTTTACCTTTTGACCTGACCTAAACTGATGGGACGTGACTAATGTTCAGAGAATATGTCAATATAATGCACCAGACGGTATGCAAAATTTTGCGGCGCACGCTATCTGTGAAAACAGATCGAGGATTTGATCAATCTCCCCCTCCCCAACCCCTGACCGGGCGAGGGATGAGATGTAGGTCCGAACCCTCCATTTTGTCGAGATATCCACTGAGATCATAGATCTGCCTCTTCCATCCCTGCACATGTCTGCTGCTCACTATGGTTTATACTGCCGAGCTGCACGCAGTGTCCGGAGGGATGGAGGAGTTGCCGACGGCCGGGGAGGGGGGAAAGGGGGGGGCTGCTGCACCGTCATCCGGCCCGTGTTATCATGAAACCATGGTGGCCTTCCGCTGACGTCATCAGTCCGGAACGCCGCGCCGCCGGCTCACTGGACACGCTAGAGTCTCCTCGCTACGGGACAAGGCCCATGGGAACCCAGACATCAAGTCCTTGACGAATGTAGAGAGCTCCCATTTTATTTTGTTGTTGTTGCTGACTAGCCTTTACGAGGCAACTGTGCACTTACATCTCAAGTGTTCCATGAACGCCCCCGGGCTCCCCATTAGTTGCAGTACGACGCCGGTGACCGGTAGGGGCGCTGCAGTCGCCCAGCGGCCCGAGGTCGGCGCTAACCGGTACCATGACTCAGCGGCGCCCCGCCCCGGGGTTATTACATACTGCGCAGTTGCAGCGGTCCAGACCGGGACAAAGGCCGACGGAGGAGCACGAGCTGCACTGCGTCCACCGGCCGGGTCAGTGGACAGAGCGGGTGGTCCAACAGTGTGTGGACGGTACTGAGCCCTGTCCACCGGAGCCGACCACGGCGGAGGCGGCGAATATCAGGTGAGCAGGACCGACCTGTGTGTGTGAGGGGGGGGGGGATCTGTGTGTCCCTGTGTCTGTTGCTGAGTGTGTTTTGTGCGTCTGTGTCTATAGTCAGACTATATGTGTTTGTGTAACGGTGTGTATGTGTTTCTGTGAGTCTTTGTGTGTCTTCTCTGTGTGGGGCATTCCACATCAAATCAAACACCGAAATCCGTCATCCCCTTCGATTTTTCTGAAAATTTGTAGGCAGACTGGGCATGGTTCAAAACTGAGTTACGTATAATATTTTCGAAATTTGATAACGTATCGCTGAGATATAAGTCATCGAATATAGCCAGAAATGCCACACATCAATTTTTTAAATGTCTATAACTCTGGTTCCTTTTCTGGTATCAAAATGATATTAACAGGGTCTTGTAGGCAATTGATAAGGCTTTGATTTTTAATTATAAAATTAAATTAAAGTGACCTTGAAATACATTTGACCTTGAATTAAAACAGAAAAATTTAAATAACAAAAAACACGCCACCTTCAATTTGGGTAATTTTTACATAATATGTCCGTCACAATGTTCCTACTGTAAAAAAATTGGAGTGGGCCATTCATAACTTTCGCGGCAAACGCCGTTTTTATGCATCAACATCACGCAACCGCGCGTGACCTTGAAAGACAGACAGGGGTGTCGATTTGTGAAAATGGTTGGGGGTGCCCAGAGCTTTAACCCTCGCCCGTATGCATTGGGGGGTGGGGTCGAGCGGACCCCCCCCCCCCCTCGGTTTTTCGCGAATAACTCGCGTAAAAAGCGGCCGATCACGACGAAACTTTCAGTAGTGCCCTCGCGTTGATCAATTTTACACCTACCCTTGAAATTTCATGACCCTGACCCAAATGACCTTTGACCTGTGACCTACTTTTCGAGACCATGCTTGGCCGGAATCGTGATTTGGCGTATGTCGGCTCGCATTAGCTGCGCGTTTGCAGTCTTTTCGTGGTTTCAAGCGTTCAAACATGTGATATGATGTTGCTCCCATGCATTAGGGTGGGTGTCAAGGTCACCTGAAGGACAGGTCAGGTCAGTGACCTTTGATGACCATTGACCTTTGATGACCTCGGTTCACTTTTTCGAGTTTTACATGTATCTAGGCTAGTTTTTGGAGCTAAATTCGAATTAAGCAACCATTTGAACATTTACGAAGTAGTTTTGGTGCCTTCGTAACATGTTACGAAGCTGTCAGAGGCGGTTGACACCTAATACGAATACCCGGCAGAACCCCTACTACTGGTTGACCTGACCCGTCCTGACCCCACCTGGCCTAAATGCATGACGACATCTTTGTGATCAAAACTAACATAATATTCGTGATCAGCACCCCGAAAATCCCATAGCAGCCACACTATGACGTTCTAACAGGTCCCGATTTTCCTTTTTTGGGTCATTGACCTGACCTGGAAGGTCAACCAATGACCTAGGACCTTCAAATTGGGTATCATCGGCTTCCTCTCGTCACGGAAAACACGCTCGTTTTTTCCCGCGCTCTAGCTCGATCAGGGGCGAAACGGCAAGGGGGGGGGGGGTCAACGGACCCCCCCTTCTTATAGGTACGTTCGCGGCTGGAAAAACACCAATACGGGCGAGGGTTAAGGCAGACCTCATATGCTATTCTTTTAGATAAAACTGCATTGTGTTAGTACCAGGGCTTCGGATAACATGTTAACTGGGTAGTGGGTGGGCAATCGCGCTGGGTGGGCAATCGCCCACCCAGTAGCAGTTTTTGCCCACCCAGTGGATGGTGTTTGCCCACCCAGTAAAGACGGAGACGGAGCAGTTTTACCCGCGCTGGGCCGGTGCTCGGCGCCTTCCGCGCCGGGTCGGGGGTGTGTCTCTGAACACCCCCGTCTAACTCGGCCCCTGGGCCGCGTAGCGACATGCGGTAGGCGGCATTGGAAAGACAGTTAAAATGACGAGAATACTTGGTCTTTATATGGTCAGGTCAAAGCTCAGGTGGCCAGAGGTCATAAAAGGTCAAGTTTGGATTGTTTGAAACATTTTCGAAAACCTGGCGCATCATTTGGGAATTAATAGAGCTGCAGCGCCGCGCAAAAGCGCATTCGATAGCTCTTTCAACGCTCTTTCGCCAAAGTAGTCCTCAGATTTGACCTCAGGTCAACGGCTTAGCATAAACTCTCCAGAGGGCAAAAACTCCAATAATAGCCACTTATGAAAAAGTTTTTGTTTTTCTGCCATAGCTTTTTACTCGAGAAAGTCATGACATTTATTTTGCCAGCCATCATGTTCTTCTTACCAAGACGCGTCGAATACCTAAACTATAGTTTGACCTTGAAATTTCATTTTGAAATTTGACCCCGGGTCAAGGTCAGGAGCTGACCGGAAAAGGTTCTGTTGCATGTCAGTCGATCCGTTCAGTCGATCATCGCTCTAACATGCGCCTACCAGAAGTTATTAACGAAAAACTGTTAAGCATGGTGTGTCGTTTCGGGAACTAGCGACCCGCGGCCGGGTGCCGCGGAGAGGCGCCCGCCATAGGGTTTTGGGGCTATTTTTCCACGTTTCGGTCTGAATCGTGAAAAGTACTGGTCGCAGCAAATATGTTCCCTGGTTTCTGAATTTTCAGCCCACGTGGAATGCGATAGCACAAGAATCATTTTCGTACAGACAAAACTGTGCCCGCGTTTTTTGGTCAAAGTAAAAATGTTCAGCAGCTTTTAACACGTGGGCCGCCGCAAAACAGGGTACACCGGAGGACTTACGATTCAATATCTCCTAAGCCATCATAGATAGCAAATATGTTCCCTGGATCTATGTAGATAATACTTTAGAGAACACTTCAGGCCAAAAATTGTTTCTCGACAACTTACACCCAGCCCGCGTTTTTGGCTTAAATGCAATGCAACACGGCAGCCGACCTTTAGGGCTCAGTTAGCGAGTTCATTTTTTAGCGAGCACTTCGAGCATTTCAGCGTTCGATGAAATGACATATTTTTTCAACGCAGTCGTTTCTTCATTTGCATCTAAACGTGACCTATATGATAATGTGATTGTATCGTCACACTAGAAGGTGTAATTCATGGTAATTTATAGGGCTAATTCTCGGCGCACAGCAGCAGACGGACACCGACTGACCCACCATCTAAAGGCAGTTTGGCGAAGCAGTATCGTGAATCACAGCCGCGAGATGTCCCTAGCGTAGAACACCGTCTGTTTGCCCAGTTTAAATACGTGATGTTTGCCCTCTGTCAACCCCTCAGTCATGGGGCTGGGGTCGCGGATGAATGGGCGACCGCCCGCCGCGCGGGGAGGGGGCTGCTCCCCTGACTCGGACCTCCACGGCATGGGGACGGTCCCGCACTCGCGTGCCTCACGTCGCCGCCACGCTGGTTTTGAGGAACCGCCCATTGTGGTGGTGGGTGATCCAACGCAGACTATGCCAGAACCCCACTGCACGATAGGACCGCGGCCGGAATTAGCGCGACATTGGTGGATTTGGCGACCTTTCCCAAATTGAGTTAAACTGTGTCACGTAGTTCAGAAATGTCCATGGACCACGAATCGGCAAATATTTTTCGTTCATAGTGTACAGCGTCCGCGCCACATTAGCCCAAATACAAAGTTTTGTGCCAAGCATCGTAGACCCGTTTTCGTACGGAGAAAAATAGCAGCTAATGTAGGTAAAAAATATATCTATTAGAGGGCTTTATCAATATTTTCGACGTCTAACCTGATAGTTTAGACCATGGGCTACACGATGGAAGAAAAAACTCATAGCGGAATATATAAATACGCTTCAAATGTTAAGTTTTTTTGGTGCTTTAAAAATTGTGAGTTAATTTTACTGTTATAGATATTCTGGAATGCCGATATAAAAAGTCCCGCTAGGTCCCGCTGTTCTTTTATCAATATGGTGTTTACCAATCAATTGCCTTTCAGAAAATGTATAATTTAGCTGCGTCAGCCTGCGGCAGCGAAAATGAGGGGCATTTTTTTACTCCAGGTCGCCGCGGCCGGGAGCCGCGAGTAACAGAACCTCAGGCTTCGAACAAGGTTGCCAAGTACCAACTATATTAAAGTTTTGTCCGGACATATCCGTACCTTCTATCGGAGTTTCTGATACACTTTTCTGACCCGTAATAAATTTGTTATATAGTCATGTAGGCCATCAGATTCCCATCTTCACGGTTTTGGTGGCTACATTATTTGCTTATCGGAATTTCCGGTGCCGTCATGACCTGGCCTGACAGGTGCTGCCGTCTTATCACGTGACCGAGCGGAGTCGAGGTCAGGGCAGGTCAACCGATTAATTAATCAATTAATTAATGAATTAATTAATGATTAATTAATTATATTAATCAGAAATTGCTTAGGTAGAAAGTACACCGATTACCATTTTTATGATTCTACCATCCTTTTCATGTGAAAAGCGGGCACGAAATACGAAAAAGTACCGATGTCGCGCTAATTTTCGCTCCGGTCCCATTGTGCACTGGGGGGGGGGGGTATCACCCGTGTCAGCTGGCTCAGACCCACCAACCCATGATATCCCCATACCGAAAGCGACGTTCCAAAGAGCAATATGCCTTTAGTGGGTATTATTGATGTTTAATTCGAGAATGTATGCATGGATGTAAGCAAATACCTACATGATGTGTTGAAGTACCTACTCCAACTGTACAACTCTGGCCTCTCAGCTCGAGGAATAAACTTTTTTTACTTTAAAGCAGGGCTACGGAGTCGATGGATTTTCGGCGACTCCGACTCCGACTCCGACTCCGGCTTTCAAAAACCAGCTCCGACTCCGACTCCGACTCCGGGCAGAATTGTCGACTCCGACCGACTCCAACTCCCGACTCCGACTCCGCAGACCTAGCAGGGCTGCGGAGTCGACAGATTTTCGGTGACATCGACTCCGACTCCGGCTCGGGTTTCTAAAATCGACTCCGACTCCGACTCCGACTCCGGTCACAACTGTCGACTCCGACCGACTCCGACTCCGACTCCGAC